GAGATGGTAGTTTAGTCCGTGCCGTCTGATGATGTCCCCAATGGGTGAAGTGTATAATAAGTATAAAATCAGACTCAGTACTGATCCCTGGGGAACACCGTACCGAGGTTCTTTCGTCTTTGACTTGTTTCCATCAATTATTACAAACTGTTTTCGGTCTTGGAGATAGGATCGAAACCATTTTAGCACATTTCCTTTTACTCCATAGCGTTTTTCCATTCATTCTATTAGTAGATCGTGGTCAACTGTATCAAACGCCGCAGACATGTCCAACAATAGCATGGCAACACATTTTTGATTGTCTATTTCTAAGAGAACGTCATTTTGCACCCTCAAGAGGGCAGTCTCTGTGCTGTGAAAACGCTTATACGCAGACTGAAAACATATCACATATCACACCTTCCACATATCACTGCTGTTAACCTGTCAATAATTTGTCTAATTTTCCTCACAGTTTGCTAAAACCCATATATTCCTGCAGATGTACAGTGATGCATCTAGGGGGTAACTCAAAGCCTGACCAGTTGAGTTCAGCCCCAAAACCCATGCCAACAGACAGCATCTTCCAACAGAAATACAGTGCATGCACTTACTGAGTGCAAGTAGAAGAGATGAAAATACTTGGCTCAAGGTCAGGTCAGGATAGAGGGATCAAACACAGCAATGTCTAAGCATCCTAACCAGGAGCCAGATAATAACCTTAGCAATGTCTAAGCATCCTAACCAGGAGCCAGATAATAACCTAAGTCCATTTGTCCCAGTCTATCTACGCGAAAACACATTTTAGAAGAAAGGGCACAAAATAATATAGACCTCAGATAAGCCTGCTTGGTATAACCCCCCAAAAAAGAACTTCCAAATAGCTTACCATTTCATTTTCTTTCCTTTCTCAGTAGACAATGAAACTAAAAATAAGCAATTCAACTGTTTTTCTTTAAGCTAAAAAACCCAGTGATTTGTTTTAGCAAAAGAGCTCTATGAGTCCATTGCCATGCATTTTTTTTCTTTTACAGCTAGCTTAGGACAGCCTGTGCAGTTGATCAGGCCTGACACAGGTCATCTGATTATAGACAGCACCTACTGTTTCTACAAACCATCAAAGGTGTAATCCCGAAGCTGGGCAGATATTTCTGCTCCTGTAGGGGTTCTGTTTTGTCCTTCATATTCTAGAAGGGCTTGAGATCTGTTCAGTGCTAAGCCAAACTGGTATACAGCATTGTACAAGTGGCCAGCATATATGGGAGGCTGCATAAAAATTCAAACATTCATTTACACTCTACAAACAGAATAACTATCAATTTTAATTTCCAAGAAAATAAACTGTTTGACTTTACAATGTCGGAAGTTGAAGTAGCACTTCCCCAAGCTGAAATTACATGGAAGTAAACTGCATATTCCCTTCTCTTACAATGCAGAGGTGTTTAAAATTGTCTTCATATAAACACATAATGGTAACTTAACTAAGTGAAGTGTAGTTTGGTCTGAAATAAAGTGCGTGATTTCAGAATTGAACGAGCATGCAGCACAACTTTGATTTGAAACTGCAAGTATGACTTCAGACCAAAATTGCATGGTGTGAAGTTCAATTAACACTTTATTACATCCACTTTGGAATCACAAAATTCTGTCCCTTAAAAAAGGGATTTATTTTAGTCTGTGCAAACATTCAAGAGATCCAATACTGAGCTAGTTCGTAAACAAGCTGAAACAAGCCTTAAAATCTGATTGGTTGTGGTGTTTCTCATTGGCTGAGATAAAGATGCAATATAAAACAAAAAAGGGTGCAATTTGTGGATAAATTGCATGGATGAGAGCCCATCAGATCACAAGGATCAGCAGCGGGTA